GCTACAGGGACCTTGAAATTCAATAGAACAACAGTTCGAAACAGCCCAAACCCTAACCCTCACTTATATAATACTAACTTTCACGTTTTTTTCGATTACACAGTTGGAAAAAAACTGCTTCTTATCTCCACGTCCGGCCTAGTGATGAAAGAATGAGGCATCGACAGAAAGCTAATGGATCGTAGATTTCGGGAATACAATTTACAGGCTGGCCCAAATTCAAGTCTCTGCTACAAGGGCCTTGAAAGTCGATAGAACATCAGGTTCGAAACCATATAATATTAACTTTCACGTCTTTTTCGATTATGCACATGAAATAACCTGCTTTGTATCTTCATGAACTGTCTTTTGATACACGAGTAATGCATCGACAGAAAGCCTATGGACCGTAGATTCTAAAAATACAATTTTTAGACCGGCGTAAATTCACGTTTCCGCTACAAGGACCTTGAAATTCAATAGAACAACAGATTCGTAACAGCCCAAACCCTAACCCTCACTTATATAATACTAAGTTTCACGTTTTCTTCGATTACACAGCTGGAAAAAACTGCTTTTTATTTCCACGTCCGGCCTAGGCATGAAAGAATGAGACATCGGCAGAAAGCTAATGGATCGTAGATTTCGGGAATACAATTTACAGGCAGGCCCAAATTCAAGTCTCTGCTACAAGGGCCTTGAAAGTCGATAGAACATCAGGTTCGAAACCATATAATATTAACTTTCAGGTCTTTTTCGATTATGCACTTGAAATAACCTGCTTTGTATCTTCATGAACTGTCTTTTGATACACGAGTAAGGCATCGACAGAAAGCCTATGGACCGTACATTCCAAAAATACAATTTTAAGACCGTGATAAATTCCTGTTTCTGCTGCAGAGGCCTTGGAATTGAATAGAACGCAAGGTTCGAAACCGCATAATATTAACTTTCACGTCTTTTTCTATGATGCACTTGAAATAACCTGCTTTGTATCTTCATGGACTGTCTTTTGATACCGACGAGTAAGGCATCGACAGAAAGCCTATGGACCGTAGATTCTAAAAATACAATTTTTAGACCGGCGTAAATTCACGTTTCCGCTACAGGGACCTTGAAATTCAATAGAACAACAGATTCGTAACAGCCCAAACCCTAACCCTCACTTATATAATACTAAGTTTCACGTTTTCTTCGATTACACAGCTGGAAAAAACTGCTTTTTATTTCCACGTCCGGCCTAGGCATGAAAGAATGAGACATCGGCAGAAAGCTAATGGATCGTAGATTTCGGGAATACAATTTACAGGCAGGCCCAAATTCAAGTCTCTGCTACAAGGGCCTTGAAAGTCGATAGAACATCAGGTTCGAAACCATATAATATTAACTTTCAGGTCTTTTTCGATTATGCACTTGAAATAACCTGCTTTGTATCTTCATGAACTGTCTTTTGATACACGAGTAAGGCATCGACAGAAAGCCTATGGACCGTACATTCCAAAAATACAATTTTAAGACCGTGATAAATTCCTGTTTCTGCTGCAGAGGCCTTGGAATTGAATAGAACGCAAGGTTCGAAACCGCATAATATTAACTTTCACGTCTTTTTCTATGATGCACTTGAAATAACCTGCTTTGTATCTTCATGGACTGTCTTTTGATACCGACGAGTAAGGCATCGACAGAAAGCCTATGGACCGTAGATTCTAAAAATACAATTTTTAGACCGGCGTAAATTCACGTTTCCGCTACAGGGACCTTGAAATTCAATAGAACAACAGATTCGTAACAGCCCAAACCCTAACCCTCACTTATATAATACTAAGTTTCACGTTTTCTTCGATTACACAGCTGGAAAAAACTGCTTTTTATTTCCACGTCCGGCCTAGGCATGAAAGAATGAGACATCGGCAGAAAGCTAATGGATCGTAGATTTCGGGAATACAATTTACAGGCTAGCCCAAATTCAAGTCTCTGCTGCAAGGGCCTTGAAAGTCGATAGAACATCAGGTTCGAAACCACATAATATTAACTTTCACGTCTTTTTCGATTATGCGTCTCGAATAACCCGCTTTTTATCTTCATGGACTGCATAGTGATACACGAGTAAGGCATCGATAGAAAGCTGTTGCACCGTAGATTCTAAAGATACAATTTTCTGCTACAGGGGCCTTGAAATTGAATAGAACACAATGTTCGAAACAGCATAATATTAACTTTCACGTCGATCCTTTTCGATTACACGTGCAGCTGGAAAAACTGCCTTTTATGTCGACGAACGTGTAGTGATGCGCGCATGAGGCATCGACCGTAGATTCCAAAAATACAATTTTCAGACCGTGGTAAACGCTCATATATATGCTTGTATTAGCGTGCTTATGAGAATCCCTCTCAAAAGCACGCTCATATATGCTTGTATTAACATATACTTAAATTATATACCTGAAACCATGGATAGTGGTAAAATAAACTGCATAGTCTTTCTTGATGTTAGAAATGCCTTCGACTCCATAAATCATGAAATCCTGATTGATAAAATGCGTAATTTTTTCGGAGCAACAGGAAAGCAACTAAGATCGTTCGAATCATACCTGAATAACAGAGTTCAACAATGTCTTATAAACGGACAACTATCGAGCCCAAAAAAGATAATATGCGGAGTTCAACAGGGGTCCATCCTTGGTCCTCTATTATTTTTATTATACATAAATGATATTGCTGATTCGTTAAGTCACTTAACTCCTTCACTGTATGCTGATGACACGGAAATTTATGCATCTTCTAATGACTGCGCTGACCTTGTCGACAACGACGACAAGGTAAATATTGATCTCGAAAACATACCCATGCAAATGGATGATACACAATAAACTTCAAACCACCCAGTAAATCGAAACATATGTTCATTGGATCTCCCTATAACCTTAAGAATACAGTATCTGGTAATCCTATTTTAATTAATAATAAGCTAGTACCCAGGATTAATAAATGTTCATACCTGGGCGTGACTATGGACGAAAGGTTGTCTTGGGATAAACATATTGATTCAATCTGTTCTAAAGTTGGTGCCGGTATTGGTGCAATGAGACGTGTTAAACCTTTTGTACCACTGTCGACAACCAAAATGCTATATAATACTATTATACAGCCTTATTTCGATTATTGCAGCCCGTTGTGGGATAATTGTGGAATTGGGCTCAAGGATAGGTTGCAAAAATACCAAAATCGTGCTGCAAGAGTAATTACTGGGGCAACCTACGATATTCGGTCATCTGAGTTACTCAATAATCTAAATTGGAAACCTCTTGAAGAAAGACGAAATTATCTTAAATCTATTTTCCTCAATAAAATTCTGAATGGCCACACCGCACCCAATCTTAAAGAAGCATTTCAATTTAATAATGAAAGACACAATACTTACAATCTTAGAAATAGGGATACTGATTTAGCACCATCTATGCCGAAAAAAGAATTCGGCAAGAGGTGTTTCAGTTATAATGTTGCCTTGCATTGGAATAATCTTCCCCATGAGGCAAAAATTGCTGAATCCTTGAGTTCTTTCAAATCAATATTGAAACAAAGAATGAGTTGAAATTTGCTTGTGTGTAATCGTGCAGCTAAAATCGTTCTTCTTATTTGTTAATTATATTTCGTATTTCTTGTATATAGTTAATTTCTTGTAAATAGGTATTTTCACGCCCTTCATGGAAACCGGCCTTCTAACGGCTGTTGAGGCTAGCGTTATTTAAATAAATTTTTGGCACGCTCATATATGCTAGCTTGTATTAGCGCCGTATGAGAATCCCTTATTTTGTTGTATCATAAGGACGCTCTAGCTCATATATTCTTGTATTAGCGTGCTTATGAGAATCCCTTATTTTGGTGTCTCATAAGCACGCTCATATATGCTTGTATTAGTGTGCTTAACGAAAATCCCTTTCATAAGCACGCTCATATATGCTTGTATTAACGTGCTTATGAGAATCCCTTATTTTGGTGTCTCATAAGCACGCTCATATATGCTTGTATTAGTGTGCTTAACGAAAATCCCTTTCATAAGCACGCTCATATATGCTTGTATTAACGTGCTTATGAGAATCCCTTATTTTGGTGTCTCATAAGCACGCTCATATATGCTTGCCGGATAGCTCTATCAGTTTTAATTAATTAAACTGTTCTTCCTAGAGGTTCAGTAAGAATCCTGTCTTATTTATCCAGTGTTACTACAGGAAGAAACCTAAACTAAACTAACTTTATTTATAGTGGATAGCTCTATCAGTTCTAAACTGTTTTCCCTAGAGGTCCAGTAAGGATCATCTCTTATTGATCCAGTGTTACTACAGGAGGAAACCTAAACTCAACTCGCTATTGACATAAAAGTTGAACTTACTCTTCTGTTTGTCCAACGAACACAAGATTAGTGCCAGTCCCCGTGAGAGTGGCAGTGCCTCCGACGTTTGCGGCGTAAGCGATTGACAACATAGTCGCCTTGCATAGGTTGCTGAAAGCTTTATCATCTGGCTTTAAAAAATAAGAAAAAATAAGGTTTACTATTGGTACGGGGTAATAATACATCGTTATATACATCTTATTTTCTTCTCTGAATGGATTTCGATTACAACACACGCAAGAATCTCACATCTTGTAGCAAGTCTGCGAACAAGCCGTCAACAAGTTGTGTTCGCAATGCTTGTCACAAGTTGTCAACAAGTTTGGAACAAGCTGTTAACAACTTATTTATTAACTTTACAACCATACATAAAATAGATTAAACCACTACATAATATGGTTGAAGGTATGGTCAACAGGACAAGAATAGCCCCATGTGAAGACCAACCTTAATGAAAACAAACTATAACAAACATAAATCAAAGACGAGAACAAATATACAATTTACAGAAAACATGACGAATTATGAACAACAGCTTAACTTGAAAGAGCGACACTTAGAACAGAAGGTTTTCCAAGTGCGCATTCTGTTTACATCGAAAGATGAATGAATTAGAGAAGAGTAATGAACAGTTAGTCTGTTTTTAAAGGAGGAAACGGATGAACTATTACGAATGGTGGGGGAGAGATTATTTATTACTTGTAACAAACTTGTTGATATTATCAAATTTGTTGCAAGGTTGTTCCAGCAAGTCCGTTACGCTCATTTTTCGCTCGCTACTCTGGTTTAAATAAATGATTACAAAGCCCAGTCGAATTGTAATCAAGACCCATTATTATTTACTAGTAAACATGATTGATATACCTGGTTGCAGTGAACGAACAAACTTTAAGTCCGTTACAGTCATGATGTAGCAGTATTGTTACAACCTTGTGTCGTCAACCTTGTAACATTTTTGTTATTCTTCTCAAATGCAAGGATGGGTTGTAGCGAAGTAGTTGTAGTTTGCTACTGTAGCGTCAACTACAATTTTCAAGTGACTACTTTTTTAAAACAGTAGCCAGGCCCGGAGCTACGGGGGGGGGGGTGTGGGGGGAGTGACACCCCCCCAGTAATTGTATTCAGTCGGCAGGACTGCTATTCAGTCGGCAGGACTGCTATTCAGTCGGTAGAACTGCTATTTGGGTTAAATATTTTTGACGCAAAGGGCAAGAACGTGGTGGGAATTTTAGGAAAATGTTTAGGAAAAATGTAAAAATTTTTTAATGTTCCGGAAAATTTTTGTACGTCCGGAAAAATTTTTGGACCCCTAAAATGGTACACTGACCGAAATTCTTTTGGCGAGGGGGGGGTCGACAAAAAATTTTTGATCCGGATCCGGAAAAAATTTTTTTGAACCAGTCGGTTGAATTGACCTTATTACACCCCCCCTGAAGAATTTCCTGAGGACGGCCCTGACAGTAGCTGTAGTTATAGCGAACTACATAATTTTTGCCTAAAAGTAGCGAAGTAGCTAACTACTTTTCAAACAACGAATCGCTTTTCGCTACGTTTTAAAATTGTTAGCAACATGATAGAATAGCATGATATTGAGACACGGTTTGCTTAAAATCAATACTTAATAGTCAATTTGCACTCTTGAACACTGTAGTGCTTACAAAAATGTTGCTTTGTGTTTACTGTTGCTACTCGTAAGTCGATTTGTTATAGGTTACATTACAGTCTGAGTTAGTAGATGCTCCAAATAAGTAAAACTAAAAAATATAGCGTAGCGAAATAGCAGAATAGTTCGCTACATTTTTTAAGCAGTACCTATAGTCTGTAGTGAACTACCTTTGTTCAAAAGTAGCAGCAGTAGTTGTAACTGACTACATATTTTTGAAGTAGCTGTGGCTATAGCGAACTACAAAAATTTGTAATATAGCAAAAATCTAACTCCAGTTTCCGAGATGGACTGTGTAAAACTCACATAATTTCTCTTACCTCGCCCGATAGGTCATCCGTGGTAGTAATCTGTGCTGTACTACATGATTTTTCGTTCAGTACATTCATTTCAAGTTGCTCTGGATTCTCGATAACTTCTCCTTTGTCGTCTGTTTCATTCCTTTTTACACCAAGTGTCTTGATTTCTTTAATTTCTCCGAGTACGGCTTGAGCGATGGGAACCATCATTGCCGTCGTGGCTGTATTGCTCACCCACATTGAGAGAAAAGCTGTTGGACACATGAAACCAAGCAATAACCTAAATATTAGAAAATATGATTTAGTGTTGGTTTCGCTAGTGAGTGTAATTTAATTTAAGTTTCTTGTTGTAGTAACACTGGATCAGTACAAGAGATGATTCTTACTGGAAGATCAGATTAGAACTGATAGAGCTATCCAGTATAAAGTTAGTTTAGTTTAGGTTTCCTCCTTTAGTAACACTGGATCAATAAGAGATGATCCTTACTGGACCTCTATGAAGAACAGTTTAGAACTGATAGAGCTATCCAGTATAAATAAAGTTAGTTTAGTTTAGGTTTCCTTCTGTAGTAACACTGGATCAATAAGAGATGATCCTTACTGGACCTCTAGGAAGAACAGTTTAGAACTGATAGAGCTATCCAGTATAAATAAAGTTAGTTTAGTTTAGGTTTCCTCCTGTAGTAACACTGGATCAATAAGAGATGATCCTTACTGGACCTCTAGGAAGAACAGTTTAGAACTGATAGAGCTATCCAGTATAAATAAAGTTAGTTTAGTTTAGGTTTCCTCCTGTAGTAACACTGGATCAATAAGAGATGATCCTTACTGGACCTCTAGGAAGAACAGTTTAGAACTGATAGAGCTATCCAGTATAAATAAAGTTAGTTTAGTTTAGGTTTCCTCCTGTAGTAACACTGGATCAATAAGAGATGATCCTTACTGGACCTCTGGGAAGAACAGTTTAGAACTGATAGAACTATCCAGTATAAATAAAGTTAGTTTAGTTTAGGTTTCCTCCTGTAGTAACACTGGATCAATAAGAGATGATCCTTACTGGACCTCTAGGAAGAACAGTTTAGAACTGATAGAGCTATCCAGTATAAATAAAGTTAGTTTAGTTTAGGTTTCTTCCTGTAGTAACACTGGATCAATAAGAGATGATCCTTACTGGATCTCTAGGAAGAACAGTTTAGAACTTATAGAGCTATCCAGTATAAATAAAGTTAGTTTAGGTTTCCTCCTGTAGTAATACTGAATCAATAAGAGATGATCCTTACTGGACCTCTAGGGAGAACAGTTTAGAACTGATAGAGCTATCCAGTATAAATAAGGTTAGTTTATAATTTAGGTTTCCTCCTGTAATAATACTGCATCAATACGAGATGATCCTTACTGGACCTCTAGAGAGAACAGTTTAGAACTGATAGAGCTATCCAGTATAAATAAAGTCAGTTTAGGTTAGGTTTCCTCCTGTAGTAATACTCGATCAATACGAGATGACCGTTACTTGCGCATAAAGTGATGTCCCCTTGCTTAATTAAAGATGCATACTTAGAATTAGCAACACAACTATAAATTGAGAGAGATATAACAATATGAAAATATAAGCAGATCTTTCGGACAAAGACATTTCAAGCTAAAGCGCTTCGTCCCGCTTCCCCTTGGGAAACGTTGAAATTCTGCTTATATTTTTCTGCATGGTAGCTGTATTTTTCTAAATGCGCAGCTATATATTGTTATTTTAACATGAATGTGACGTGTTAAGAATTAACGCATTTATATAACCAAAGGGACAGGAGCGAAATGGAATATGTTAACACTTTTGCTAAAATCTTGCTTTATTTCTACAAATGAACAGAAACTTCGAGGCCCTGTGACATTATTGCATGTATTCTGGTGTCTCATAAGCACGCTCATATTATATAGCCTATATACCAAAATCCGCTAACACTGGTCGTGCTCATGAGCATACTGGATTTTGGTACATATATGGGCTACTCATTTCGTGAAATAATTAAGTCATTATAGTTGTGCATGTTTTAGTTGATATTCTTGTCCATCCCGTAATTGTTTCATAAGCATTCGGTTATCATAAATAATCATGTGTCGAATCTTCGGACGACGGAAAAAAGTCATCTTTTATTTCAATATTAAACAAGACAGCACTCAAAGATTGGATAGGTCGACTGGACGAATTCCAAGAGCTCTGATCGTATGGCTGCTTCACCAAAGAGAAAAGAGCAAAATGCAATATGTTTGTTAAAACCTCGTTTTCAATATTCTATCTCTAACGACGCGACGCGTCTAGTTTTTGTCTCTGTTTATATGAGCGACTCAAAGAATTAGTGTCTTCAAGAATATGCCTTGGCGTTAAATAAGGTTACAAAATTATCCTATCGCAGTTTATCCCATAGCTTCGAAGCCCAATGACAACAATTTCCATTAACCAAGCCATAACTTGTTCCCATTTCGTCATACTTCTTTTTGACGTAAGCTAATGTCATCGACGAAGGCTCGAATGTGTGGCGTGCATTGTACTCCTTCCCGTAATAGCCACACAGAAAGCTCTTATCACCTTGGCCACAGAGTTCGGCTGTGAATCGTGGTGAATTACCGCAGCGTGTGCATTCGGTTAATATTTCAATACATTCATGAGACAAATCCTTGATTCCGCCGTTAAACCATGCTGTTGTGCCCAGTGTAGCAATTCCGAGCAGCACTCTCGATCCCTGTTTGTGTTGCTCCTCTCGCAAAACCATTGGACATCGGAACACGGATCCATCTGATTTTTTTCACTTTGTAATGACTATACGAATGGCTACATTCAGTTCCGTACTTCCACTGTCCGTGATAAGAAGCAGACGATTTACTACTCATCGTTACGATATATACAGCGTTAAGAAAAGCGATTAAAGAATGTTGTGAATCACTGCCGTATGTAAGTAAACTGTACAAGTGGCTGGCAGGTCACAAGATTAATGAGAACTTCCGGGAATCTCAACGGAATTGCCAAAAAACGATATGCATGCAGAAAGTTCTCGTCCTGCTTTGAATTCCACGTATAAATTCCGCAAGTGTTGCGTCTTTCGGCGAATATCATCTCCGCATGTTGAAGAGAAAAACGCTTGTTTTATAATATATTATTATTATTTATTAGTCTCTTTTACCCAGTGGCCTCGTTTCCATGTTAACTTATTTTAGCATGCTTGTGATGTTACTCTGAGTGTATATCCACACCGGGCAGGCTTGAAAAATATGCCTGGCCACCGGCGGTGGGAATCGAACCTACGACCTTTGGAATACTAGCCCAATGCTCTGCCAACTGAGCTACGCGGTCAGGTCGGTTCGAGTATGTGATATTTCGGAACTGAGTCAAGTTTCTTCGATATCAATGTAATCTAATAATCATGATTATTAGATTACATTGATATCGAAGACGAAGGAACTAGACGTTTTTTAGTTGATATTCTTGTCCATCTCCTAATTGTTTCATAAACATTGGTTTATCATAAATAATCATGTATTGAAATCTTCGGACGACGGAAAAAGTCATTATTTATTTCAATATTAAACAAGACAGCACTCAAATATTGGACAGGTCAAGGATTTATGCACATTGAATAAATCAACCATTTAGATTTGAACTCGCAGATAGCTATGCATTGGCCCCTTCTTAACCGATTTTTATCCAAACTGAACTAGAATTTGACCGATTTGTCTTGCACAAATTTTTGTATTAAGTCTTTTTTAACTTTAGAGGAGAATTTTTGTATGCTACATGACATGAACACATTCAAAACTTTTATTTTTCGCTACGTTTCCCAACTGACAAACAAACTTAATCAAAGGCTGTTGAGGCCGACTCGCGGATCAAATCATCAAATGAAAGTGACAGAAAGAATTACAGCAGCTTGCAGTTGTTTTTGCAAACGGGCATGGTGCAAATGCATGGACGACTTGCGCTTTAGAAACATTTTTAATCTGGGAATAACAAAGGATATTTTCGGACTGAGAAGTTATCAAAATTAGAAAAACTGCAAAGTTTGCGAAATGTTGTAAAATACGGAAAATATAGCCCTGCGAATTTGGCAAATTTGTATACATTTCTATTACGTGCGGAAATTGGTAACTAATTTAGTTCATGCACGTAATACAAAAGTATACAAACTGCCAACTTTGAAGGGACTATTTTCCGTATTTTACAACTTTTCGCAACCAAACTTTGTAATATTACTAATTCCAAGACGCTCTTTCCAACTGTGGTAATAGATTTCGTTGTTCTTACTTAGATTAAAATTTAGTCTAAAGCGCAAGTCGTCCATTTTCCCATTTGCCGTGCTTACCGCGTGCTGCAGCCCAATTTCCGGTTCTGTAAGGCCCGATTCGCAGGCAAACAGTGCGCGCAAAGCAGACCGGTCATTTCCCATTGTTTAACTGCGCCACACTCAAGTAACCACAAAGACTCACAGATATACACCCTTTTCATAAATGGCTGCCAATTAAAAATTCTTTTATGTGCATATAAATGGCCCAACTAGCCTCGTACTCATGTTAAGATTTCAAAGGAATTTCTACCCAGAAACGAGGCTAGTTGGGCCAATTTATATGCACATAAAAGAATTTTTAATCGGCAGCCATTTATGAAAAGGGTGTATTGCTTTGCAACATCCGTAAGTCAAAAAGTATGTTTAGTGCTTTATCTGCAAAATAATGCTAAAATGAAGAGATTTTAGATGAATACGCCAAAGAGAAAATGATGTCTGAGAGTTATATAGGCCCCATAGATTTACACAGGGATGGATTTACTGGGGGGGTGCGGGGGGGTGCACACCCCCCCTAGCCATGGCCAGGGGGGTGCAAGGGGGGTGCTATTTTTCATAATAAAGCAAAAAATTATTAGAGACAAAATGAGATTCAGTAATTTGAGTAATAACATGATGATAAGCAAACTGTGAACAACAATTACAATTCAAATTCTGGGGGGGGGGGAGGTCATTGCTCTCCGAAATAAAATTTTTCCGGAAAAATTTTTTAAATAGCGGTCCCTAAAAAAATTTGCACCCCCCCCCTACCAGATCATGCTGGATCCATCCCTGGATTTACACGAATCAGTGTTGATTTTCAATCTGGGTCAGCAGCGTCGTCATGGACCCGGGTTGAAGACTATTCTTGCCAACACGGGTCAGCAATTCCCAACCGGGGCTGACAGGGGTAATATTCCGACCAACGGACTGGATTGGAGTAAATTTTTTGGCCGCACAAATGTTGAAATGTGATAGGACGCCAGGTGCAAAGTTCATGATAAACAGATTCACGCTGCTAGGCACGGTCTGGCAGTGGTGAAGGACTGCCCCCACCCAACTTCCGCTTCAGTTACGAATCTGACTCTTACTTGACCAGGACTTCAATAGGGGTATCGCTGTATTAAATTCCGCTTGGTATCTGAGCTTAACTCAGTAGTAATGCGGCAATGAAGTCTATACCTCCTAGGTTTTGTTCCAATCAGGAGCAATATTTTCAACGCGATTCTCTTGTGTAAATTCCACTGCTCCACAGCTACAGCCAACATCATTCCTCCGATAAACAGAACGTTAGTGTCGCTGAAATATGGCGTGCTGATCTCTTTCGCTTTGAGAACGCCGAGTATGGGAAATAACAGCAAAGGAAGCAATGACGTGACAGCCAGGGAACATGATTCTGTTGTCCAATAGATTGCCATTATCATGATGGCGTATGCACAGTTGGCTCGCTGAAAAGTATGAAGTTAGTTTAGTTTAGGTTTCCTCCTGTAGTAACAACACTGAGTGAATAAGAGATGATCCTTACTGGACCTCTAGGAAGAACAGTTTAGAACTGATAGAGCTATCCAGTATAAATAAAGTTAGTTTAGTTTAGGTTTCCTCCTGTTGTAACACTGGATCAATAAGAGATGATCGTTACTGGACCTCTAGGGAGAACAGTTTAGAACTGATAGAGCTATCTAGTATAAATAAAGTTAGTTTAGTTTAGGTTTCCTCCTGTTGCAACACTGGATCAATAAGAGATGATCCTTATACTAAATTTGAAAAGGATTTCATAAATAGACATTGTGTGCCAAGCTGAGAAGGTCTGTTAAGGCAGTTGAGCTCAAGCTTAGATTTGGATTTAGATTCGGCCATCACTTTATAGCTGCGCGGTTATAATTGCAGGACATACGTGAAAGGCTCTTCTCAAACGACGCGGCGGTCGCGCTTAAATTAATCGTATGCTAGACTAGCCACATTTAGTACAGTGAAGTGCTTTAATCGTTTTTTAAGTATTTCATAAACAAACACAAGCTTATTGTAGAATACTATCTATACTGGACCACCACGTTTAAGACATCTTTTTCAGGTACTTCAGACACAAACCACGGCAGTTTATTGTAGAATACATCTATATACTGGACCATGCACCACGTTTGAGATATCATTTTCAGGTAGTTCTGACACAAACCACGGCAGATTATTGTAGAATAGTATACTACCTATATACTGGACCAACCACGTTTGAGATATCTTTTTCAGATAGCTCAGACGCAAACCGCGGCAGCTTATTGTAGAGTACCAATACTGGACTACCACGTTTGATATATATATCTTTTCAGGAAGCTCAGACACAAACCGCGGCAGCTTGTTGTAGAATATTACCTATACTGGACCAGTACATTTGAAATAATACCAATTAATACCTTATCTTGCAAGGCCAAAGGCAGTGGGGACAATATAATCGGAGTTAGCAACAGAATGAGATACTTTCTCCATTTCTTGAGAGCTTTGAACCATTTGGAGGCCATTGCAAAATCAATGTAAAATAATACGAATTCTGTTAATTCTATAGCAACGCTTGTAAGTACACTTTCAAAGCGCAAAATAAATATGATTTAGTTTATGTAACTGAATACTGCTTTAACCTTTTGACCTGATCATATTTTTGACCCTGTTGAAATGACAGAGGTATGAATGGTATATTCCAATCACAGTGAGTCAATATAATCAAAGTTAGAAACTTTACTGCGCAACTTTTGGCTAAAACAGTTCGCAAGCAAACTGCTTACAACTTCAGTTATATACTGTGTAAATCAATCACACAATTTGCCAACGTTGTCGTTTAGGCGAGTTGTGTACTTGATTAGTTGATTTTAATTAATACACAGCACAACTCATTAAAGCCCCGTTTACACCACGCTCGATTTTTGGTACCGTGCCACTTTTTTGGTTCTTGGACTACCTAAATAGGTAGTCTAAGAACCAAAAAAGTGGTACGGGTACCAATTTCGAAATTATAGATAGATAGATAGATAGATAGATAGATAGATAGATAGATAGATAGATAGATAGATAGATAGATAGATAGATAGATAGATAGATAGATAGATAGATAGATAGATAGATATTTAATAAATTTCTCCCTAAAGGCCGTTTTCATTAACGTTCGCTTTGCCCGCGCGGGCGAAGCGTTCATTGTTTTTGAAGCCCGTCACGCCCGCGTGAGCAGATTTTCAAAGCCCGCTCCGCCCGCGCGGGCAAAGCGACTTTTGCATAACAATGGTCTTTTGTTAAAGTGTTCTTTAGCTGGTATAAAGACGTATGCACGTGACTAATTTCCTACTCAAGATTGGATAATTGCTTCATGAATTATTAATGAGTTTTTGAAGACTATATACAAAATGTCTTAGGCTATACTAAATGTTATCTTTTGCAAGCAAATATTTTTTAAGTGCTACATTTAAAATTTTAAGAGAAGAGCAGTCTTTCAAGTTCCTGTCTAAATTTAATTATGTCTACATCATGGGCGTTTTTGACATATTTCTTGGATTACGACTTTAGTAGTGTCTGTTTTATAAAGGTCTTTCCTATACGTTTCTCAAGCGGTAAATAAACTTAAAAAGTATGTTTAATGCTTTATCTTAAAATTATGCAAAAATGAACTCGTCCGCCCACAAAAAAGCCCCGCTTAGGATTTTTTTTAAATTTTTTTATTTGGAAAAGACCCAACTTTTATTGATCAACGGGCTCTAATATATGTAGTATTTCTAGGGCTCTAATATATGTAGAATTGTGTTAATCAAAATTGCGCGTGCGAAAATGACGGTATATGAATCATAAAAAATATCTGTACTGCGCAAGAAAATCCAGTTTCGGACCTAAAAACCAATGCGTTAAACTAAAAAACCGCCCACTTTTTGCAAAAGCTAAGGACGCTAACCAACTATTTTTTATGTGGCCCAAACTGGCACGGCAGTCTGTGGCTAAAAAGTAGGCCTATACCAGATTTCACTCCATGGGAAAATATGCTGTGACATTTGATCATATGCACTTTAACTGAAGATTAAGTCTATCTACAGTATAATGTATATCGGCAAAAATCTGTTTCAGAAAGCGCACGAAATGCAGTCCTATAAGTGGAGAAATTCAGAAATACGAATATTTTCCGACAGAGAATTTCGCCAGAAGTTCACTGATTAAGGCCTGATTCCAC